CTCGATTGAGCGTTCTTCTATCAACATGCGGACAACAGGACTTTGAGCCAACTCAGAGCGCTGGGCTGGTATCTCGAAAAGGGCGGTCGCTCCTTCTTTCTGGCCCAAGGTAGAACTGATGCAAAGAATCACAAGATCAAACCCCTCGCACATATATCGAGAGTCACGAGCGGTCTGTTTAGGCAATACCTCTGACAGCTTCTCATTTTCTCTTTGGATGCCTTCGACGATGTTAGTAATACAAAGTCAGTATACCCTCCACGCGCAGACAACAAAATGGGGTATGAAACAAACACAAATCAAATGTCAACGCTGTGGAAACAAAGTAATCATGAGCAATGAAAATGCGGTTGGTAGCTGAAAATATCTCGGTGTCCCAACCGCAAATGGCAAGCGCTGCTGCAGCGGAAAGCAAGTGAGCGCCTGATCGTTTGCACAATTGAGCGATTGACACTGATTGTGGAGCTGCTTTGCAATTTGAGTAGAAACAAGCGAACAAACGAGTGATTGCCGCAGTGCAATGGCAATGTTTGGTGTGAGAAGCACCAGGAGCAGGGGGATCTAAACTCAAGCACAGCAGAGGGTGATTGACTCGTGTTGATGACAAATATCAGATGTACTAGTATATGTATATACATATATATGTATGCTGCCGCTGCAGGCTGAGTGACAAAGAGACTGATTGTTGCACTGACTGTGGCTTTGAAGTTGCGGGGAGGTGGCGAGGAATTGCGAAAAGCACAAAGTGCAGTGTACAGATTCCAAATGCACTTTGTGCAGATAAAGTTTTAGCAAAAAAAAAGAAATAAAATAAACACCAAAAGGAAACTCGGTCGCTCACATACAATATATATGTACATATTCTGCACTACGAAAACTCACTCACTGACACTTTTATTGTTTTGTTGTTAGTCCGCTTTTTTTTTGTTTTTTTTTTTTAGCTTTCTTCGCTTTGCTGTGGTGTTACATTTACAGGTGAATGCCGTAAAACGTGAAATGATCTATCTACAAAGAGATATTTGAAAAATTCGTATTTTATTGACAGGAATGCCTACAACTTTGAAAACAGACAATTAAAAGTGGCTTGTTGCATGCGGCATGTAGCATGCGGCTTGTTTGCATGGGCCACAAGGCAACAATGGAATGCTGCCAGAGACTTCGGTTTGGTGAAATTGTTAGCGAGTATATATATATGTATGTGCATATATATATATGTGCGGGTAAACCGGCAGCGACTCCATGCCAGCCTGCCTAGGCCAGACTAGTTGGCTGATTGACACTAAGTGATTGGCTAGTTGGCTGGTTGTTGGTTGAATTGTCTGCCATTTGGGTGCAGTCAGCGCTGACTACCACTTCCATGGCATGCCAATTTGCATTAGACTTCGAAAGCGAGCTACTTCTACTATTTACAAATTTAGCAAATGTAGGCGCAACCCGGCAAACAGGATAAATGCCGGCTGCTGCAGGCCCTCCTACTGCGTTTTGCACAAACAAAAAAAAAAAAAAAAAAAAAACAAAGATAATCCCGTGAGAATTCGTAGAAACGTTTTCCCATCAAAGTGAAAAAGGAAATGACAAAAATTAACATTGATTGTGCAACGACATTGCTGGAGGTGCGCGGTCCAATGTGCTATCAGGCGTTTTGTGGAGACGATACCCCACAATAATAAATCAAAAAGTGGAAGAAAGCGTCTAATTAGTAAACGAGAAGACCGAATACTTATACGCGAGTCTCTCAAGGATCATCCAAAATCTTCTTCTGCCCTTGCAGCTGCCCTTTCGGATGAATTTAGTAAACCAGTCACTGCTCGAACAGCTGGAAGAAGACTTCTGTAAGCAAGTTTAAAAGGATGTAAAGCCCGAAAAAAGCCGTGGCTCTCAGAAAAGAATAGGAAAAATCGTTTGCAATGTGCTCGCCGATACCAACATTTCAGGGAAGAAGATTGGTCGAATGTTCTGTGGTCTTCGAGGTAAGTTTAGTTAAGATCGTCTTAAAGTATTAACAGGCATAGCTTCTTACCCTAGACCAATTTTGAAGGCATAATACAAATCTTATGAAAATTTTATTTTTTTTCTACAGATATTTGGAACATCTGGTGTTACGTTCGTGAGGCGACGGGTCGGGGAGAAATATCATCCAGATTGCGTGGTACTCACTGTAAAGCATGGAGCAGGCAGCAAGGAACACAGCATAACATCAAAAACTGCGTCAAAGAATGTCTTAATTAACGAGTGGCACGCTATAAGTGCGGACGAATGTGCAAAGCTTGTATGCAGCATGCCTAAGAGAACTGCTGCCGTTATTAAATCGAAGGGTGGACCTACTAAATATTAATGTTATTATCACTAACTCATTGTATTTTCACCGTTTTACTAATAAAACTTAAACAAAAAATTCAGAAATTAGTAAGGTGCCTAGTACTTTTGCCTAGGGTTTAATCGGTCTATGGAACTTCCGTAGTTTGGGTAAATCCTCAGCCATTGTCAGCGCGTTATTGTAGACCACTTAAAATAATTTTTGCAAAAGAGTCTGCAAATCGGGTCAGAGACGAAATGAAGAATAGAAATCTCAGATGCTGCGGGTTTTAACTTCCACCTTTAGGCAGATTTACAGTGGATCACGAATTGTAGCTAACAACAGTACATCGACACAGACTCGCGGCTTGGATAAAACAAATGAACAATCTGGATGCCATTATAATATGCCACAAATTAAAAACATCTTTGAATTCGATCTATCTACGTCGCATAGCCGAAGACGATGGTTAGAATATATTTTATACCCAGGTCCTCGGCTGCCTATTGAAACGTGACAAGTCCGTGATTCAGAGATGAGATTTTAATGAAAGAAATGAAGGCATTTGTCATAGAAGAATTCAGTGTCGAATTGGCGTCAACGGGGGACATTCCTACGCGAGGCTCAGGTATTACTATTAATGGAAGTGCAGCCCGTCGAATTTTTTACAATTCTGAATATGCGAAAACTGCTGGCGAGAGCCATGCATTATTACAATGGCTTGGAATTAATTTATCTTGTATTGTCTCCGGATATTCTATAAACATTGAAAGCTGTCACAAATACGCATTAGGAACCGCATCACTTTAGAATATCCATGATTATATATGCTAGAAAATGTACCACTTCCGATAGGCATGATGTTGGAAGAAGCAATGGAAACTAACAATAAAGAATTGGAAAACAACAATGAGGGATCTAATGAATTCCTTATAAATCTCTTCGGGTCCAAAACTAGAAAACACATGTACGGCTTTCTTATTTGAAAAGGAAATCCAAAATTTGGGCTTTTGGAGAGTCCTATAACTCCGATTCGGACAAAGAAAAGTAATTCGAAAATGAGCTCCAAAAAAGTGTTTTATTCTCAAATGAGGAGCTCAAATGAAATGAACAAAAATGAAAAAAAATTAAAAAAAAAAAAAAAAAAAAAAAAATAAAAAAAAAAAAAAAAAAAAACAAATTAAAAAATAAACAAAAAAAATTAATAAAAAAAACAAGAAAAAAAAATTAAAAAAATAAACAAAAAAAAACAATAAAGAAACATAAAAACATAAAAAAAAAACAATAAAAGAACAAAAAAAACAAAAAAAAAATTAAAAAATATAATAACAAAAAACAAACAAAAAAAAAAAAAAAAAAAAACAATTAAAAAAAATTTTAATCTGAAATAAATGTTTAATTTTGCTCCTTTCTATGTTTGTTTACCACTAAAGTCATCAACCTTGTTTAAGGGGGGAACCTGGTTTAGAACGCTGAAAACTGCATGATATTCGGCACAGTGTTTTAGCTTGACTTACGTATGAAATGATTCAAGTACTTTTGAAATAGTTCATAGATACACAAATCTTGCAAAAAAAAATTGCTTTCACTTTATTTGATACTGTTAAGCAATAACAATTCGTATTTGTTTGTGGCGCTTCTCGCTCGAAGAGTCTATTTCGTGAACACGATAGCGATCGTAGTTTTCATCTGAAACATAAAAACGAATACTTTTTTTGTAGCTTAGGAGTTGCTCTTCTATGTTAACCTAAGATATTCGAAGAAATGTATAAAATCATTTATTTTATGACTGTTTATAAAAAATTTTGCGTTTTTCTGAAGAAATTTTAAGACAAGTTATGGCAAAAAGTTAATTAATAATTTTTATTGTGAGTTTTTAGGTCCATATAGAAGCCTACACTATTAGCTGTAAAAAAAGGTATCACTTATGAAAATGCGACAATTACAACTTTTTTAATCGTGTACACAAAACAGAAAAACACTGTTTTGAGAAAATCGAGTTCAGAGATCTCACGCCCGCTTATCAGTCTGCTGAACGCATTGTTTCTCAGAGGTCATTTCTGCGGAACGATTAGGAATCTGACTCAGAAATTTGTGGAAATATTTCTGAATATATTTCGATTTTTTTGACCCTCTAAGCCAGGTTCCCCCTTAATTCTTGTTGTTCGTTCATTGAGCCTCGCGGGCCTGGCTATATATAAAAATCTTATGTCTGTTCAGAAAAATCCAGTAACCTCCAAAATTTACCGACCAATTGACTTAAAATTTTGTCACACTATTTCTATGGTTCCTGGGAAGGCTTAAGGTAAAAATTTTGGGAAGTGTACCCGGGACTGACCTATCCGAGGAAATTTAGCCAATGGTTTAATTTACTTCATATTCGGTACATAAGTGGCTTTTTGCTTAAATTAACAGGAAAAGTCTTCTTCTCCATGGACTATTTCTATCTCCGGCAAGTGGACCAATGTCCATGGTAAAAGCAAAAATGTTGAATTCCCACAAGTATTGAATAAATAAAGTTATTATAAAAAGATATTCCAACACTAATTTTTCCCACATTCAATGAGTATGTGAGAGAGCGAAGCGTTGCAGGGTTCAGCTGGTATAAATGAAAAATATCTAGATTGCACAGAAAAATATTTCCAATTTTATTTATATTTATTCTATATTTATATTATTAAATATAACAATACTGTGTACTTACTTAATCTGCCAAAGCTGTGCGATAGCCTCTTTTTGAGCTTCTGCAATGCGCCACCCTTCTTCTCGCGCATTGTCACGCCTGAAAATGAAGAAAAACAAAAACAAACAAAGTGTGTGATTAGAAATTATTTCCATTTTTTATTATGAAAAACTTTAATTTTTTTTTAAAAAGTATGGGATCAATGAAGTTTGTTTTGATGATTCAACGTGTACTTCTTTCGGAGAAAGTATAAGAGATACCATAACTTTAATTTTCATAAGGAAACCTAGTAATTCATGGATCATTATTAAGTTCGTGTGGAGCCGAACATTAGAAACTCGCTGCTATTTATCTGAATAAAGTCCACAAATCGCTGAAAAGCTTAAGAACAATTTTAGTAGAACCCAATTGAGTCGATTTCTGTTGACTAAGGCCTGCTGCAAACGAAATTATTGGTTTTCGTAAAGGTCGAAAAACAGTTGGTACGATGAGATCTGCCGTGCGGTAGTGGGAAACAAACTCCTTAGTATGAGATAGATAACAAGAACTCAATAGCGAAGCAAAACGCATGTGCAGACAACAAAAGAAAGAAGTCAAGAAAAATGAGTATAAAGAGCCTGAGAAGTTCGCTGATAATAGTAAATTTACAAAAATACACGGCGACTTACTGAAGGTGCCAAGACCGAAGCAGGCTCTTGCGTGACACAAGGAGATGATGTAGGTACTGATGCCCAGAGTGCACCGAATTTGTAGGGGGAGCGTCATTCAGCAGGCAAAGAATGCCAGATTACCCAATCGCTGATGATGGAAGTAATGTTTCATTGCCCAACTATGAAGAAGTTCGAACAGCAAACGCTCGCTTAAAAAATAAACAAACAAAAATAAAAACAACCATTGACCAGGCATTCACCATGCGCAAGATCTTAGAAAAGACTCGTGAAGAGAGATTTTACAGAACCTCTTCCTTGATTTCAGAGCAGCCTTCGACAGAACGTCGCTATGTTTGAATTCGGTATCCCCGCAAAACTTATATAGCTCTGTAATCTGACGTTAAGCAATATCAAAAGCCCTGTTGGGATCGGATATGACGTCTTCGAGCCGTTCGATACCAAACGAGGTTTCAGACAGGGTTATACCTTATCGTCTGACTTCTTTGAAGAAAATAATAAGAGCTACAAAGCTGCGTAGAGATCATACAGTCTTCTATAAGAGAGTACCCAGCACCTGTACTGTACGCCGATGATATTGACCTCAACAACCGCGCCGTGAGTTCTGTTTTCTCCAGACTAGATAGAGAAGCGAAGCGAAGAGGTTTGGAAGTGAACGAGCGCAAGACCAAATATTCGCTGTCACCAAGCAAACAGTCAACGTATTCGCGACTCGGCTCCCACGTCACCGTTGACAGTCACAACTTTGAGGTCGTAGATAATATGTATATCTAAGAATAAGCATATACACCAATAATAACTTCAGCCTTAAAGTCTAACGCAGACTAACTCTGGCCAACACGAGCTACTTTCGCCTTAGTAAGCAATTGAAAATTAAAGTCGTCTGTCTCTCGACGAACGCAGAGCAAATTCTTCAAGCCGCTCGTCGTTCCCGTCCAGATGCGGAGGCATGGACGATGACAAAATATGATGAGTCGGCGTTAAGAGTGTATGATTTATGGTCCTCTACGAGTTCAGAACGGCGAGTACCCCAACCCATGGGATGATGAGCTGTACGAGATATACGGCGACATTGACCTGGTAAAGCGAATAAAGAAACAGCGGAACAATTGTTTCTTGTGATTCGGTTGGACGAGAATATTTCAGCTTTGAAAGTTTTCGATGCGGTATCCGTCGGTGGAAGTAATGGAAGCTGAGGAAGACCGCCACTCCATTGGAGAGACTAAGACGAGGAGAGCCGGGTATTTCCGATTGGCGACAAACAGCGTAAGCGGTGTTTGTAGTGAAGTTGAAGAGACGAAAAACGTTTGCTGGCTCTACTGGTATTGTGATAAAAAAAAATATATATTATATACATATAAAATGAGGCAAATCTAAAAAGTACAGGAACTGCTTCCGGAGGGACTTTATAGTCGTCATGTTGGCAACACGAAAGTGTGAACTAAATTTCGCCGTCGCCTCGTAGGGGTCAGTAGGTTAAGATTCTATTAAAACAGTTCGTCACATCGAACCTTAACGGTACAACAACAACGATGACCTACCACGGCTGCATGTGTTCTCCTTACAAACTGCTATTCATTTGTTGTTGTTGTTGTTGTTGTTGTTGTGTCTAATCAGTTTACAATACATTTTCTCCTCCAACTATGCTGCGCTTCAAAGTCATACTAATTATTTCACCTGCCGTTAATTTAATTATTTACTGACTGCCAAAACTGCAGAGCAAGGAAAGTGAAATAAATAGCCGTGAACGACGCAAAGAATTTTGTAATTAAAGCGTGTCAATTGGTTTAGTTACGGTGCGTTCAAACGTGTAAATATCCATTTAAATGAGTGTACATACATACATACGTACATACGGTATATCACTACCGGTTCTGCCGTTTATGGTAACATTTACCGAAAATATTTTTCCCCGCTAAAATTTGTTCGGAATTAATTCACGTGCACGTGCACACCCACATATACATATGTGCATATGTACAAATATATATATACGTTCATCTCACACATGCTCAACCGGGAGAACCGAATTTACAGTGCGTTCTCTTTCTTATGGCTTGTCATTAAGTAAAACTTAAAATGTTTACTTTAATTACAACAAAAAAAAAACACACGCACACACACAAAAATCAACGCTGATCGAATCGAATGCTAACGAACTGAAGCGAAGTGTAATGAGATGAATTGAAGCGATGAGAAATATAATCGAAAATGTTTTTATAAGCGCATTGACCTTAAATTGTGCGCCTGCATACATATATATATACAAGTGCAGCAGACCTTAGCTACTAACGTACATACACACATATGTACATTGCATTCAATAAAAATACGGATTTCATGCACAAATCAGACAAATATGATGTACCGCATGGCGCTGTGGTTGTCGAATAAACGCTGATTACCGCATGAATGATGATGTTCCTACATACATACATACATACATAGATACACATGTGCATATAGATTTTTTTTAAGGTTCGATGTTAATGACAATGTCGCTTGTTGTTCTACAAGTGGTTGCTTGTCTCGTTGGAAGGAAGTAACTGTCTGTTTGTTTGTGTGGGAAAGTGATAGAGAGAGAGAGAGAGTAGGGGGCTGGTGGATGACAAATGATGTTGATTATGGTGTTCAAGATAAGAAATTCTTCTTTGTTAGATAACAACCGCAAACATTTGCGTTACATACTGGTACATACATATGTATGTATGTTTTATACTAAAAGCAAAATATACAATTCAATTTTGTCGATGAAAGAGCGAGTAGAACTGTCATAACGAGAATTTTGTGATACATTAAGTTTAAAAAAAAATTACTTCTTTGTTTATCTGCATTTATCTTTCATCTACATATTTATTACACATAAAAATATTTTTTTGTAATATCCAATATTAGGATATTCACAATAGCTCGATCAATTGGCGACGTTCGATTTGTTTTTGTGAAATCTAAAAATGCCAAATTCTTTGCAATTACTTTAATAATCTTACTTTGAAATTATAGAACGATCGGCTGAAATGAAGACGAGAAAACGCAAAATAGCTGAGGATAGGTCAAAAGAAATTCCACCACCAACGCAAACTGAAATTCGTCATGTGATTCTCTTCGGGTTTCAACATTATTTACAGCAAATACAAGCGTCTTCAAAATATTACTTCTAAGTGGTTCCGAAGATTCCAGACCTGGCATTTTTTTCGTAAACGACGAGACCTGAAAAGGTCGAACAAAATCTTCCACCGATGACATCACTGTAAATCTGGTGAAGCCCAAAATTTATGAAGAACCACGATGGACCCAAGAGACTATTGCCAATGAATTCGGCTTGAATTCCATGGCTGTATCGTAAATCTTATTTAGTCACACGAAGAATTCTGCTCGATGGGTACCACGAGTTTCAAATGAGGACCAAAAAGGGGCTCGATTGCATATTGCTCAGTTTTTTCTAAACAAATTCGAAAATGGTCAGTCTAGCAACTTTAGTAAAGTCGTTACTGGTGACGAATTTTGGTTCTATAAGTACGATCTAGTAACCAAACAACAGTCTATGGTGTGGAGCCCAACAGGAGCAAAACCACCCGTAAAAAGCCACAAAAATCAGCAGTAAAAGTAATGATGTCAGTTTACTTCACGCGATCTAAAATTGTAGCTGCTATTCCACTGGTAAAGGGTCAGATGGTAACTGCAAAATGATACACCGAAGAGTGTTTACTAAACATTTTCAAAAAAGCGTTGGAAAACTGGAAGAATTAGGATTTGCCGCGCTACTTTTTACATCATGGTAACGCGCCGTCCCACACTGCTGAAATAAAGACTAATTTTATTGCGATCTCTGGGATCAAAAAATAAAAAAATTAAAAGGAAAAGTCTTAATAGTAACGAGGAGATAATTAATGCGGTTAATGCTGATCTTTATAAGCTTAAAGAGCAAGATTTTGAAGACTGTTTCCAGAAGTGGTTCTAAAGGCTTAAGAAACGCAATGAAAGATATAGAGAAGATTAAAAAGGACAGAGATTAACGATAAATTCAAAAAGAATTACAATTTTTTTTCTCGTCAACTTACCGAACTCTGTTCATTCCGTTCAATGAACACTATTTGATTTGAGAAATCAACTAATAAGAAAATTAATGAATTTTAAGTACAAAACATAAGCAAAAGTAAACGCCTTCGACAAAAAGAAGCTAAAAGGTCCGACATTTCACAAGAAAATTTTTACACAGAATCTTTTTATTTGTTTAAACTAAACTGACAGCAGCGCGCCCACTGACGACTTGTCTAGAAAATCAAGACAAGTCGTGTTCAACACACAACAAAGTTTAATAATTATAATAGTATGCAAACGTGAACCGTTTACCAGTTATGCAGAGACGAGCTGTCGTATGTGGATAGAGCGAACGGGTGCGCAAAGAAAGCAGCTCAGCTCAACTCACTC